ATAGCCTGCCTTGTTTCTTGAATGGGTATAAAGAGGCGCATACAGTAATGTCTGATACTTTTCACCAGCAGAGAACAGGGGCGCATGTGTATAGCAGTCTAGCCCTCATGCAGTGTTTCTATTTTTTATTAAATGCGCTAGTGCTATCTCATATCTTTGCTGGATGATGGTTTGCAGTATTGTAATCAGGATTTTCTTTTTGTCACGTCAAGATAAATTTTAGCTCTGTAGAGTCACAAGTTTGTTTTTATATTTCCAAGTGTCTGAAACAAGAAGCTATAAAACCTAAGACCTCGTTAAAAGTACTAAGTGGGTGCACCTCTAACTGAGCTGGCCAACTAAATTATGTATTGATGCAAATGTAGTGGCTGCTCTTAAGCTAACTGATTGTGTTTGAATATACAGTGATTATGTCCTGTGATTGCAAGGAAATATGACTAAGGCCATGTGCAGTCTTCTAAGTATGAGCCAATACACTGCTTTGGCCAGAAGTTTTATTATCTGAAATATGTAAGAAAAGTGGAAAATGAAACTATATAAGAAATAAGATACATAAATGGTGTATTAATCATAAGCACTTGGACGTGTGTTGTCTGTCTAACCTAGCACGTTCACAAAGTGCCTGCTGTGAATGGAATTTTACAGGGTCTGTCCCAAGTTGTATTTGTGCAGCACAGTGAATAGCTGCACTTGCAATGAATAAGAAGAATGTAAAAAATGTTAAATAGTGTTTTATTGCAGTTTTAGAACGAGAAATTACCTGTAAGCCTGCAGAGTAGTGTTAGTCAAAAATATTTTAAATAGCTGTGCCTAGCAAAGGTAGCTATTCAAATAAAATGTTTTCTGTCTACCAGAAGATGGTGCCCTAAAACTCGTTCAATAATTTCAATTTTTAAAAGCTGTGATCAACTGCAAATGAGTATTTTTTGAAAAACATGTCAGAGCAAGGTGATTTGCAAACATATCACCCAAGTCCAAATAAATATTAATATCCAAACTTCATATTCCAAAAAGCTTGCTTATACTTAAAGTTATCCCAACACAAATTAACATACAGGACCCAAACAAGCAAAACAAAGCAATATAAAACACAATACAGCTACCACTTCAAAGAAAATAAAAACTTCAATCCCCCCTCCCAAAATAAAAACATTCCTCAGCATAATTTTTGTTGTTGTTCACAAGTTTTTTGGTGTTTTGTTTTTTATACAGACTTAAAACAGATCAGAAAAAAAGAATAATTATTACATTCCTCATAAAGAAATCAATCAATTTTAAAACTGGAAATCAGAACAGTAAATCCCTGAGTAACAATAAGTCTTACTCACCTTGTGGATTTCAAGATATAATTTCATTGTTTTCTTAAATGTTGGAGACAAGGAGGGAAATTGCAAAAAATCAGGTAGCATACAATTCAATAAGCAAATCTATGAAGCAGCTTCAAATTGTTAAATTTATGAAGTGAGACAAAGAACTCCCTCCTGCATTGTGTCCGTAAAACCACATCTGATAATAACACACACTGCAACACAAGTCTGAGATTTTTGCCATTGTCTTCAATAGCTTCACAGGTGAATTCTTACATTTACAGATCCTCTGCTTTGTTGGTAATAAATTGTTTGCAACTCAGGGAGACAAAATCCCCAGCAGACCATCAGGTCTCGGTGCCTGTTGGCTTGGGCAGCATTTCCTTGAAGGCACTAGTAATTAGAAGAAACAGGAGTGTACTGCCTGTGAGACCCTGCCAGCTGATATTCACAGATCAATAACTCCACCTGGCTTTTTTGCTCCCTTTAAGTCTTAGACAAAGGAGTTTATTTAACAGAACCAGCTGGCTTTCCCTAATGTCTGATTTACTGATATAACTTAAAATCAGGTGTAAGGATTACCACACCAAATGAAGAGATGAAGTTCAGCTTTTATAATACTTTGTGATAGCTCTCGCACTCTCAGTTGCGGAAGCGTGAGTCTTTTTGCAGTATGTACTTTTTACTGCTGGTTGTTAAAATTAAGCAGATATATTTAAAATAAAGTGCGGAGAAAACCACATCAGGATTGTCAAGCTGTAATTGCCCAGTGCTTTGGGTTTTCTTGTATATAACAGTAAGGAGAATGATGGGGGTACTTATTACAGCAACAGCAGCTTCAACTCTATACTTTTTGTTTGCACAGCCCAGTACATATGGTCCTCCATGAGAAATGCAGCAGTGCTTGAGTGTGCTATGTACTACTGCAAACATATTTATGTCACCCATGTGGGCTACATCTGTGGCTACAGTGTGGATAAATGTTATGTTCATTATGTGTATGACAGAAGTACGATTTACTGGTGAAGAGCGGGTCTCTAGTATTGCCCCTGCGGCAGGGCTGAGATGGGAACACAGTGCAGGAATACTCTGGCCCAGGGCTGCAGCAGACCCGGCTGGGCCTGGCTGTGAGGATTTACTTATTGAGCATAAGCTTTCAACAGTAAAAGTAAGTGATTTTGATCATTTGATCCACATTGCTTACTAGAAGAGGAACGTTTCCCTAGATTTCCCAGATTCTCTCGGTCCCCAGTACGTTTTTCCAGGGAGTTCATACTCAACAAAGCATGTACTTTAACAACTTACGTAGCGAGAGGCTTACCATAGAAACTTGCTACCTGCTGGCAGCAGAAGCAATATAGAACTGTGCTGCCTCAGAAGGTGGAACAAGGGCAGATTTGTGGCTCAGAAGGACAGAGCTACAGAAGGACAACAAGCTCCTGCTGTAGCTTATACTTTGGACTTCACACAGCATCAGCTCTGCAGTTCCTACTGTAAAGACAGCTACTCAAAATGCTTCCTTGCATGAGCACACAGGCAGGGCCTCCCAATATGTCTTACCCACTCTGTTAGATTAATAGTAAAGTTATCTAATGTTGTAAAGTTTTGGGTTTTTTAAAGAAAAAATAGAGTAAATTAATTTTTCTTTACATATGCTCTGATGGACCAATTTCCCAGGTTGTCCATAAGCCTCTCCTAGTTTCTCAGGAAGACAACCTTACAAAAATTGGCAGTAAGTAGTTCAAAGTCAGTAAGAGGATAGAACATCCTAGTACAGGCCCCAGGAATGATTGAAGAAGGAGCTCTGCACCAGTACACTTGAAGGCAGCGGCCCGTGAGATGCCCGCTGCCCCAAACCAACTTTGTGCAAGAGTCCTAAGTGGGGTAGATGAGGGCTCCTGTTAATAGTGATTTCCATGTGCTCTGTGGAAGGAGCCTCTCTTTGTTCTCGGTGGGTACGTGTCCATGCTACACAACTAACAGCACAGTTTGTGTCTTTGCTGACAGCTTTACCAGAAAGTCCAAGGCTTGAACGGGACGGGGACTTGAACTGCTGCTTTGATCCTGCTCAGTGCCGTGGCACGTTTGCTGGGAAGCTTTTGCTGCTGAGGACCCACACTATTTAGATGGAGCAGCAATGGAGTGCACCAGGATGCACAACTGCAAGAGGCGCTTTCGACCACACACCTGCAGACTAGAGGTGAAATGTAGTAAGCACAAGCAGTAAGCTGCAGAAGCACATGGTAACAGCTTGTCTAGATCGGCAAAAAGTGTAAAGAAAGATGTGAACGCATATTAGAAAAGAGCACTTGACTCCCAAGATTGGTTGTATTTGCACACATATGTTCACATTGATGGTGGACCACCTCTCCCATGTCTAATAGGTTGGCTTTTCAAGTCTTGCTCTGCACGTTTACGTGGCTTGTTGGATTTTTTTTTTCACTTGCCACTCCTGCACACACAAACAAACAGATTGCCAATCAATTGCCCTCCACAGCTGGGGACATTTTTGAGAACACAGTTGCTTTTAATGTTTAATTAGGTATGATAACAGGATAAAATGTTCTTGGCAGGGCAGAGCGTGTACAGCTCAAACTTGCAACATATTTCTCTCCCCACAGGGTGCTCAGCACCTAGCAGTGTAGGGACACAGCTCAGGTACCTAGTGTTAGGGCTTCGTCAGCAGCTCTGCCATCAACACAAATGATTGTCAGCTAGTTGCAGCTTAGCTGCAAAAACAAATTAACCGTAGGCTACCGTTTAGCGCCGGAGGTCTCAGTTCAGTAGCCATTTCGGGGGTGTTGTTTTCTGGCAGCCTTTTTCGTGCGTACACGGACGTAAACGGCAAGCAGCGCTGGGTCTTGTTACCGCATCAACAGATGAAGCTCTTGCAAAGTTACACAGACAGTAGCGTGCTTTCTTAAACTCGTGTCAATTCATAGATTGCTTTAGGCCACAATATGTTTATCATATGTCTTAGTACTGCTTTTTTTTTTTTTTATAAAAAAGACTAAATAACTGCAAATAATTACCAGCTGCCATGCTAAAGCACGGGTCCCTTCAGCGGAGCCACCCGGCCAGTCCCGGGGATTTTGCACAGGTGTGAGCCATTCGCAGCAGCGGGGCCGATCCCGTAACCCCCGGCCCCCGCAGACACCACCGACATGTCGGTTCTTTTACTTGGCGCTCCCCGGCCGCAGCCGCGGCAGGAGGGCGGCCGAGAGCTGCCCCCTTCCCGCGGCGGGACGAGGCCGCGGGTCCCGGCGGAAAGTTCCAGTCAGGGGCGAGGGCGGCGGAGCCCCCCGGAAGGCGGGAACGGCGGGCGGCCGTTCAACGGCTCCCTCCCTCGCTGACAGACCCCTCCGAGTACGGCTTCCC